GATCAAATTCAAACTCCGTGCGCACTACACTATTCACAAATAACAACTCACTCACCCCGTAATTTTTATATACCCATAAAGCGCAATATATTCCGTATTTAAAAATTTCAGTACTCGAGTCATCCTCGATCTCAACTTCTGCAAGTCATTACTAATCCACAAGTATGCCTTAGACCAAACTAAAATTTAACATATAACCATCAATTGAATTGTCAATAGCAGGTTCTCCCACTTGACTCAAAGCCATAGATTAAAATACTTCATAACTCACAATACCCATACTTTATTACTGCCATAATACTACAGTCAGTCCAACGAAAATTCTTCTCAAGCTCATACAACGCCAACCATAAAGTACCTCAATCATCCACTAAACTTGCATTTATTCTCTTGACAGTCAAGTCAACTTTTTCAACCAGCTTCAAATTCAAACCTCCACACATAAGCCCCGTTGGCAGAAAAAAAACTCTCCACTCGCATTATAAGAAAAACACCTACATAGATTACTCCGCAGGGGATAATCCACCTGCTTAGCCTCAAATTGGTATCTTGTTGTACTCTTTCGCCGTCACAATTACTATGCAATCACTTAGTCTATCCGAGTCCAAACTCATTAAACAGACATATTAGTCCAAATGTACAAGTTACAACAGAAGCTACCGAGCCTAAGCTACGGTCCAAACCTGGCCTCAAGTCCTCCAGACTGGCCCATCACCAAAACACAAAATACACATCTCGCACGTCATCCCTAAAATTACAAGCCGGCGATACACAGCTGATACCAGCGTTCACATGCGCGCACGAATGCGTGGAAGGAATTCAAAGAGTTATATTTTAAGCTGAATCAATTACACACGATAAAGAAAGAAAGCTGGAAAATTATCATAAATGCCCTGTGTGAGCACCTAATTTTTGCCCCACATGGAAATTACTCCTAAAAATAGTCCAAAAATAATTTTAATGGTTTTTATAGAATTTTAGGAGTTTTTCTTTTATTTGTTTTGCATTATTCGCAGTGTTCATGCATACTTAGAAATGTTTTTTTTTAAATCGTAAAAATTATCAAAAATATTTTTATCTTTCAGTGTATCAATTGCATTTAGGAATTAATCATAGGTTACAAGCATGGTTAAAACAAAAATCACAAAATATATATAATCTTTAATCAATTAGTTTAATTAATTAGTTAAAATGCTAATTAGGTCATATTTGACAAAACAAATTCAATTAGTAGTAATGTGGCCATTTTTGAAAGATCAAATAAAAGAGGAACAAGGTTTTCTGTTTTTTGTTCCAAATTGGCCCAATTCCAGCGGCTCAAAACTCCACCTGCCGGACTCGCCTGGCCCAACCTACCCCTATTCATTAAAACACTCCACATTCCCCAAAACCTAGAGGACAAACCTTCCTTCCCAAAAAAAAAAACCCTAACAGCCGCCCCATCTCTCACCTCACTCTCACCAGAGGATATTCACTCATCTCTACATACACAATTGTCACCTCTCTTGGAATCATGGATACACACTTATAGATACACATTCATTTACGCATCCTAACTTCCTTCACACTCAAAAACATCCAAATGAAGATCTGAAATCAAATAAAAAGAAGAAGCCAAAAACAAAAGAGACGCTGGAAATTCGAAGGAGAATTGGAAAGGAATTGATTGCTGAATTGTTTTTAAAAAGTTCAAACTCTTTTTTTTCCGGATCTATAAAAAGCTGTCGAAGCTCAAATTGAGTTTGTTTTGCTGTTGATGATCGCGGTCCCGAACTGTAAATTACTGCTGCTTTCGTTGGACCCCATCCTTCCTTTTCAGCTTTCATTTAGCCAAAATTTCAGTTTACTTTGCGAAATTAGGTAAGTCATGAAACCTTTGCACCTCACTTTATTTGAGTAATAAAATTGTGTGAATTCCGAATCAGGATATTTGTGTAATCGTTTACTGTTGATAGATCGAGTTATTATTGTTTTGTTTGAAATTCATGTGTTGCTTAAACTTGAATGATTTAGGATAAATACTCTAATCAAATACTATTGTTATATGGGATCCAAAGAGTTCGCTTGTGATTGTATGGGAGTTGTTTAGTGAAGTATGATGTGGGGAAAAATCACGTTTTGGTCAAGTAGCTGAATCTTCTCATGTTTAAATGTTTAGATACTATACATGAATAATTATTCACGTGATAGGTTTAATAGATTGAATCTCTGTATTTGTGGGTCTGCAATTGAAAATTCCTAGTCTATAGCTAATTGAAACCATTTTGGCCATGTTAATTTTCGATTAATTGGTTTGGAATGTGAAGGTTCTGTTTGATCTTGTAAGAATTTAAGCTTTAAGTTCACATTTGGGTTTAGGTAGAAGCTAGCCCACCTTTCAAGGCAGTAAGTTTGGCTACCGAATTGTTTCGACCATGGCTTGATCGTTTTTGGAAAATGAACTTGGGTGGAATAATTTGATCTTGTTAAGACCCAGAATAATTAATAAGTTATTTTATCTCTGGTAAATTAATAGATAATAATCACCTACGAACATCGTAGCTTGCTTTAGGCGCGATTAATAAATCGCCGTGACTATAGGTACGATTCCCGTGACATAATCATGATACGTAAATCCCAATTCGAGTGCGCGTTTCACGCGACTCGACCATAACTTCAAATAACAATAAAAATAAGCATGTTGTAAGTCGCGGGTGCGTTTCACGTGACGCGATTTACAATGTGTACAAATTAATTCCATAAGGAAATACTAATTTTCAATAAAAATCCGAAATTAACTCAAAAATTATCCGTGGGGCCCACGTCTCGGAACCCGACAAAAGTTACAAAATATGAACGCTCCTTCAACCGCGAGTCCAACCATATAAATTTTACTCAAAGCCGACATCAACTCGACCCTCAAATCTTCAAATTAAACCAAAAGGGTTTTCACAATTTTTCAACTTAATTCACCAATTAAATATTTAAAATAACCATGGATTCAGGTAATTTGACAAATATTGAGTTAACAACACTTACCCATTTTTTTTTGGAAATTCTCCCAAAAATCGCCTCTTCTCCAGTTCCAAATCGGTAAAAATAAAAAATTGGGACGAAGTCCCATTTTCAGAACTTGAACTCTCTGCCCAGTCACTTCTTTTATGCGATCGCGGACCAACTCACGCGATCACGAAGCACAATTTTTCATTGCCCAAAAATAACTCTACGCGATCGGGAAAATTCGACGCGATCGCGAAGCACAGTCTTTGCAAGCCTACGCGATCGCGAACCTTCACACGCGATCGCGAAGCATTAAGCGCGTGGCCCAGCTTCAACCTTTTTTCCTCTTTGCGAACGCGGCCTAGCCCACGCATTCGCGATGTATAGCCTGGCCCAACCTCCGCGATCGCGGATGCCTTCACGCGATCGCATAGCACAAAATCTCACTGCTCCAACTTAGCCTAAGCGATCGCGGACATTCTCATGCGATTGCGTAGAAGAAAACCAGTGATAGAAAACCAGCATTCTTCATCTGGAATACAAAGTCCAGAATTGACCCGTTAGCCGTCCGAAACTCACCCGAGGCCCCCGAGACCTCAACCAAATACATCAACAAGTCCTAAAACATGATACAAACTTAGTCAAAACCTCAAATCACATCCAACAATGCTAAAATCACGAATCATACCCCAATTCAAGCCTAATGAACTTTAAAACTTCCAATTTCTACAAACGACGCCGGAACCTATCAAATCACGTCCGATTGACCTCAAATTTTGTACACAAGTCATAAATGACATAACAGAGGTATTCTAATTTTCAGAATTGGGTTTCGACCCCGATATCAAAAAGTCAAACCCCCGGTCAAACTTTCAAAAATTCGACTTTCGTCATTTCAAGCCTAATTCCGCTACGGACCTCCAAATAATTTTTACCGGACGCGCTCCTAAGTCCAAAATCACCATATAGAGCTATTGGAATCATTAGAATTTAAATCCGAGGTAGTTTACATATAAGTCAACATCTGGTTAACTTTTCCAACTTAAATTTTCAATTATAGACTAAGTATCTTATTTCACCCCGAAATCCTTTCGGACCCGAACCAACTAACCCGGTAAGTCATAAAACAATTGTAAAGAACAAATTGAGCAGTAAATGAAAAAATGGAGTTGTAATACTCAAAACGACCGACCAGGTCGTTACAACCTCTCCACACTACCATCAGCTTTATACTTAATCTTATAGACCCATTTGCACCCTATAACTTTCTTCCCTTGAGGTAATTCAACTATTGTCAAGTGCCATTAGCTTCTAGAGCCTGAAACTCTTTCCTCATGGCTTCTTGCCAAGCAGGGCTGGAAGCAGCCTGAATATAAGAATGAGGCTCAGAAGAAACTGTGTGGGCAGCAGAAAGGGATGTAGTAGTGGAGTTAGAGAGGGAAGGTGGAAGCTGAACAACAAAATCATTTAGGTGCGAGGGAAGAGTGTGATTCCTACTGCTTCTCTTAAGCTGAGAAGGCTGAATTGGATCAGCTGAAGGGGAAGTAGTTACAGGGTCAAGAAGAGGTGCTGAAATAGTAGATGAATCAGGAGGAATAGGCAGAACATCATTAGGAACAGGAGAAGCAAGAGTAATAATGGAAGCAGGAGAAAGGGCAGGGGAAGGAGAATGGGAGGTATCATCAGAAATGAAAGTGGGAAACTGACTGGGAAAAGATAATGAAAGGGAGTAAGGGAATATATATTCATGAAAGATGACATCTCGGGAGACCAACACGGATTTAGTAGACAGATTATACAGCTTGTATCCTTTCTTACCAAATGGATAAGCAAGAAAAACACAAGGTATAGCCCTTGGGTCAAATTTATCCCTATTACATTTAGGAAAAGTGGCATAACAGAGGCAACCAAAAGGCTTTAAGTGGGAATAAGAGAGAGCCTTCCCATATAAGATTTCAAAAGGGGTTTTATTGTGCAAAACTGTGGAAGGAAACCTATTTATTAGATATGTGGCAGTTAGGATACAATCCCCCTAGAATTTGGTAGGTAGTTTGGACTGAAACAATAAAACTCTTGCTGTCTCTAACAAGTGTTTATGTTTTCTTTCAACAATGCCATTTTGTTGAGGTGTATGAGAACAAGTTGTTTGGTAAATGATCCTATTATCTGAAAAATATTGTATGGCAGAAGTAGAAAGGCCAATTTCTAAGGTACTATCACTCCTAATGGTTTTGACTAGAAGATTAAATTGGGTTCTGAGCATGGAGATAAAGACTTTTAGTAAATTGAAAGCATTACTTTTGGTTGCCCTGCTATGATCATCCACAATGGTCAGAAAATACTTTGCACCAGAGTATGTGTTAGTATTATAGGGTCCCGGGTGTCAACATGAATGAGTTCAAACAAACACTTGGAAACTGAGTTATTTGGGGGAAATGGCAGCCTTGCCTGCCTTGGTAGGGGACAAATGGGACACACAAAAGATTGTTTAGAAGATAGTTGAGCAGAAATGGAAGAAATACTTTTCATTCTAGCAAATGGAATATGTCCCACCCTATGATGCTAAAGTACATCATGTTTGTTTATACTAGGAACATCATTACTGGAAACTAAAGGAACACAATTCAATGCAGATTTAGATTGTTTAGTATTGGCAAAGAACCTATCAACACTATTCATACATTGCACATCTTTATTGAAAACAAAATTAGGACTAGAATCAGACTCAGCGGCATGAAGGAGCTTGTAGAGGCCTTGGTCTCGTCTACCAAGCTCCAGAAGCTTCCTCGTGAAATGGGCATGTATCAAAAGGCATGAAGAGGAAGTAAACAAGACCATGCAGTGAAATTGCTGAATCAACTTGTAAACTGAGACTAAATTATATTGAAAACTAGGAATGTATAAGACTCTATCAAGAGTGAAAGAAGTGAACAAGATAACAGAACCAGTATAAGTAACTTTTGCCTTATAACTATTGGGAAGAGTTTCCAAGTAAGGAGTAGGAAGTGGAGTAAGATTAGAAAGTATATTTTTGTTTGAGGTCATATGGTCAGTAGCTCCACTATCTATAATCCAAACATTTCTACTAGCACCATACAGTAAGCAAACATGTGAATCATCATTAATATAAATAGGCAGAGAGAAAGTACTACCTGCAAAGTTGGCAGATCCCATGAGGCTAGTTTGAGAATCAGCAGTCGATGAAACTTGAGTCTATTGTAAGAGAGACATAAGTTGTGCATACTGCTGCTTGGTCAATCCAGGTACTGAAGAGACATGTTCTTCATGGTCAGAAGCAGTGTAAAGTTGAGGTGAATTGTACTGAGGTAGAGTGTAGGCTGTTGCAGGATACTCAGCCTCAACAGTCACATTAGCAGCCATCCTTTTCCCTTTATTGAATTTGAAATTCTGTGGAAATCCATATAACTTGTAGCATTTGTCGATTAGGTGTCCAGGTTTTTTACGATATTTGCATAAAATATTTCCCCTGGACTGATGAAAGTCCATTTTCTGAGTATATTTCTTTGGAGGGAATGTCTTATTGTTGGCATTTGGATGAAAATCTTTATTGTTAGCATTCACATTGAAAGAAGCAGCTTCTGGAACCAGTTGGGGAGTGTATTGAACTTGCCTCTGATTTTCATCTTGAAGCAAAATGTTATATGCACTATCAAGTGTGGGAGGAGGTTGCATCATTAGCAAATTGCTTCTCACTCCTACATAGATTTCATTTAGGCCCATAAGAAACTGATGAAGCTTATCCTCCTCTTCATCCTTTTGAATACCATCTCTTGCATCACACATGCAACGATTTCTATGGTTCTTACGCATTGTACCCAACTCATCCCAGAGCTTCTTTAGTTTATTGAAATATGACGCAATGTCAAGGGAACCTTGTTGTGTGGAGGCCAATTCCTTCTTTATTACAAACACCTTAGTACCATTTACAATACCATACCTACGTTCCAATTGATTCCAAATACTCTCAGTTGTCTCGGAGTACTGAGAGTATGGTTAGTGAAAGTGAGCTGTTAGCCACGAAATCACCATATTGTTGCATCTATCCCATTAACGCAGCTTTGCAATATCAGTGGTAGCTGGCTTAGGACATGAGCCATCGTCAAATCTATTTTATTCTTAGCAGAAAGAGACACTATCATGCTTCTTCTCCATCCTCCATACCCCGACCTAGAGAATGGAGTGCTCACCAAACACATTACAGGTATATTAGACGAGTAGAGAAATAAAGGACTTGTGAGGTCAGGAATGTATGTAGAATTATCACTATAACTAGCATTCACAGGAATTTCAGTATTCACCATTTTAGGAAGGTACAGAACACTTACACTACAATAAAACGCTGAATTTGCGGAGGTTTTATTTACATATTGCGGTGGTCACAAACCTCCGCAATATACTTTTACGGCGGTTTTCAAAACCCCCAATAATGTTCGCCGCAACTAATTTGCGGGATTTTTTGACAGACCGCCGTTATCATATAGCGGCGAATATTTGATGGCGGTATAACCTCCGCAATTTGATAGTTTGGCTATCACTTATTAAAAAATAGCGGAGGTCTAGACCCCCGCAATTTCTTTATTTAACCCCCATATATTTTATAACACAATATTATTATAGGTTAAATAGCGGCAGTTATAACCTCCGCTATTCATTGAATATTTTTTTTCCTGCAATGTTACTCCATAACTGTTCCAATTTCAATTATATTAATATAATGATGCATCAACAAATTATATAAATTGCCTACTGGAATCAAGTAATATCAATATATTAATAAACCACAAAATACATTAAATTAAATTATCATTAGTCTCAAAAATTTTCTTTAAACATAACTACTCCAACCATTAAACACAAAACATCAATATTATAATTAGTCTTAAAACTAACATTAAACAGAATATCCACTCCAGCCTTTATGGACAAAAGATCTACTATGACCGTTCAATCGAGTACGATACTTAATTATCTAATACATTTGCAAGCAACTTCAATGGTTGTCGTTAGGATTACTTCCACCAGATGATCTTCTAATATCCATGGGTGAAATGGATCCGCTAGCCGCATCACTTGGCTACAAAATAATCAAAAGAAAATATAATTCACAAAAAGTACTTCAACAATATCCTAACTAATAATACTTGGACTGAACAATCATACTTTACAAAATTAAATAAGAAAGTTATGAACTATTCTTACCGTTGAATGAGGAGGAGAAACAAATATCCCTGCAAATTCTTCAGTTATCTTTCCTTCTTTCATTATCATATACGCCTTAAAAGCATTCATCATTTGAGTGTTAACATTCATCATTTTTCTGTAGTTCTCTTGGCTTTGATTGTGAGCATTCAACATTTGATTGTACTTCTCTTGGCATTGGGAAGAACATGAACCATTATTATAACTTGAAGCATTCAAATCACTATAACAAGGTCTTATTTATCTAAAAGCTCTGCCAGGAACAACTCCTAATCCTAAGCACCTTACCCTTCCAGAGTGCTCTTTTCCCAATACCTTATCAACAACATCATTTGGCGAAATTTCAGACTCATCCACGGTACTTTGGCTCAATGCTAGTTTAATTTTTTTCTAAATATATTACACACCAAAAGCCAGTGTCCTTACTTCAATCAGTGATTGACAAGTTAAAAAAAAATAATAGAAGAATAATATCATTTTCTATTATAAAACAAGTGCTGAAACTTTGGCACTGCAGTTAGTAACACAAAATTTACCATAATAAGGATTTATTTAACAATCTTTAAAATGTGGATATTATTCACATATTCGAAGTTGTTCTTGGGAAATCATAATCCTATTCTTATTCTGTATACTGGTTTCTTTGCTCTGTTTATGATATAATGCTAATGAAGTGCTTTAATTTGGATCATTCCAATTTTAAAGTCTCATGTCTTCCCTATAGTTTACTTCTCTATTTTGTTCAAGTAGTTGCCTTGGAACTCTATTGTAATTCTTGGTGTTCCTTGACAGTTCTCAATTTGTTTGAAGAATTGACCCAAGCAGCCGTCCACCTAATCTCTTTGATATAATAAAGCTAAGCTAATTAAATCAAACAAACATAGATCCAAAATCAGTTATTCCTTGAGGTTCATTTGAATTTATCTTCCTCCTGTAGCTTCTTTTCGTATCCTCAAAATTCAAACAAATTAGACAAATTCAAAATGGAGCCTTCTCATGGCTATGCATAAGCGTACACTTCAATTGTTAGTGTATGGTTAATGTTATAATAATAAACATATATTTATTCTTCTAAATTACTCCTAGGAATTAGGATATAATGAATGCAAACAATCTGGTTATGTTATGCACCAGAATATATGAGTAAATACTTACTCGTACTTGGTTTTTATTCTAATCAAACAGTTTAACTTAGCAATTAAAAGTTGAAAAGAAAATACATTACTTATTCATGATTTAATTGTAAATATGTATATGAAAACATCTATTGACATAAAACAAAGATATTGTATGCCTCAGTAATTCCTTTATAAATCAATCATAACAACGATGGAAGATTGTCACAGGTAAATCCGGCCATTTCTCAAAGTGAATTGGAAAAATAGGGCAGTCGGTTGCTAAAATTCCGCAAAAGCCTGCAAGAACGCCTTGTCCTTCACCAATGGGAGAATCCGTATCGTCAAAATCAACCACAATGCGTTCTCCATTAGATAAATTTAACACATCCCTTTTTTCACTTAAAGTATCTTGCTAGCTCCTTGCGAATCTTAAAAGATAAAATCAGTGTGAGATAGCACAGATACATAAGAGTTTCTTCCACTAGAAGAATACTAAAGTAAAATAGCCCAACATGAATTGAACAAGCAAAGGATAACAAAGTACTTGAGTCAAGTGAAAATTTGAGCAAGAAAGCAGATGATGGAGAAATAGATATATTTAGTGCAAAAAAATACTTCAATGAAGGGGTTGATGAAGAAAATCAAGAAAATGCCACAAATAGTGAACCACAAAACAAACAAAACTGACTGAATCAGCTAGCATTGCCAGTAAACAAAACTGACAAATAGTGAACCACAAAATGCCACAAAACTCCAAGTATTCATTCAGAATCAAGCTGGAATAGTAGAAGTGCATTATTGCAGAATATTTCAAGAAAACATCAGCATCAGCCACAAGCAAATACCAATAACAAGTCCTACGGCAAGAAATTCCTAGCCAGAATTGGCTGCAATTGTTATTGTAAAGACAAGAATTCTGTTAAGGTTGATGATCAAGTCGGCGAAAAGAGTGTTATATCCTTCTTCAAAATACACCGATTCTACCAAATTTCTGTCGATTCTACCAAATTTTTGCCGATTCAAAATACACCGATTCTATCAAATTTCTTCAAAATACATCGATTCTACAAATTAACAGAGAAAATAAACTTAAAACCCACATGCATGAAGAAATAAAGACAAAAAAGCAAAATCAAAGCAAAATCGAAGAGGAATTTGTATGAAAGAGCAAAATTAAATAAACTTACATCCAATTGATTGATAGATCTGAAGTTTTCTTTCATATCTCTTTCATTTTGCAACAGAGGAGGCGCTGAAGAAAAGCGGAGAGCTATTGTATTTGAAATTTTGCAACTACACGGGCTTGAATTCGGAGGAAATGAAGAAGAAATGGAAGAGATTAAGTGAAGAAGAAATTGAAGAGATTAAGTGAAGAAGAAATGAAAGAGATTAAGTAAAGGAAAAGAGATTGATAGATCTGTAGTCGCTTTAGTTCTATGGGTTTTGATTAAGTGAGAGTGGGCGAGGGTTTTTGAAAATGAAAAATAAGTGAAAATGAGAAAAGGGGTTTGGGAAAAAAGGGNAGGTTACCGACCGCCGTAAATATAATATATTTACGGGAGTAAATAAACCCCCACAATTTGATATAGATTGCTGAGGTTATAGTAACCGCCGCAATAAAACCTCCGCAAATTTAGCATTTTTTTGTAGTTTTAGATGCAAAAGAAAATATCTAGGGTTTTTCTGTCACAAAAAAGAAAACAAAATCTTCTAAACCAACTCCAAATAAAACTCGGCAAAAGAGAAATACTCACTGAGAATCCAATTTCCAGCAAAAAATCAAAATATTGTCGTCACATGACCAGTCGCAAAAAAAATAGCGAACAAGCAAAACCTTCAATTCAAACGGTGAGGGTAAGATCGATCAACTCCTATCGTCAAGATCTATCTAACGCCCATAGCTCTGATACTATGTGAAAATTAACCAACAAGCTACAACGTATGTGAGTTGGTTAGGGTTTCAAACAAGAGGAGAGAAGAGAGCTCAGAGAAAAATCAATATTTTCATTTATGAGTGTTAAATCTGTACAGACTTCTAGAAACCTATATTTATACTTGGGGACAAAACTGTAAACATACTACCTTTTTTTACATGGGCTGTAAACCCGAAAATTTATAAATACACGTGGGCCAAACTTTGGCCCATATCTGAACTAAAACTATCTAATAAAACCAACTAATAACTGGGTTGTATCCAAGATATCATGTAATGCCAACATTTTTACCTTTCTATACTACATATGAAACTTTATTACCCTCCCTAATCAAGTTTTAACTTAATTACACGGTCATATACAATTTATCAATTATATACAAATAAGTTTTAAATGAGTATCCCTTTATATTAGGAATTGAACAAGGAATATCAGTTATTTTCCCATCCCTTTATACATGCCCCCTCTCTCTCTTCGTCTCTCTCTCTCTCTCTCTCTCTCTCTCTCTCCCCCTCTCTCTCTCTTCATCTCTCTATCTCTCCTTCTCTCTCTCTCTCTCTCTTTCTCTTCATCTCTCTATCTCTCCTTCTCTGTTTGTTTTTCCAATTTTTCCTCCTTTGGTGTTCTCTATTTTTTTATGCTTTCTTGTTGTATAGAGTTTTAATAAAATTCATTAATGAATTTCAATCATTTTACTATAGAGTTTTAACTTAGAAATTTCCTTTCATCTTGCTCAATTGATGTTCGAATTAAAATTGTCAATCAATAAATTTTGAAGGTGTTTGATTCTCCATCTTTGACAGCCATTAAAAAGTTTTGAAGCTTTGAATTCGAATTTAGGTTTTCAAAAACTATTATTGGTTTGGATAAGGTATTGTTGCAAACAATTAAGAATATTTTTTGGAGTTTATATCTCAATTTTGAGGGTGTTTGGTGAAGATTAGACTTGATTTTGGGCGAATTTCAGATTGAAAATCGAAGAAGAAGAAGAAGAAGAAGAAGAAGAAGAAGAAGAAGAAGAAGAAGAAGAAGAAGAAGAAGAACACATGACATACAATATACTTACAAAATTATATTAAAATTATATTATAGTTGTATGGAAATTGTATTTAAGTTGTATTATATTGCAGTTATATATGTTTTTATTTGAATGTTGTATGAAAGTTGAAAACTATTTGTATAATATATGAATCGTTGAAATAAATTTTTATTTAAGTTATAAATACTATCTTTTTATATAAAGTTGTTGATATGTATCAAAATTGTATTAAGAGAGGAAGTTTGGATTGGAATTTTAGAGAGGAGGAAGAACACACTACATACAAAATATATACAAATCAGATACAAAATACATACAAAAGACATATTGTATAAAATTTGTATGAAAATTGTATTTAAGTTGTATGATGTTGTAGATATATTTAACTGGGTAAAATAATGTATGAAGATTGTAGATAAGTCATAAATATGTTGTATACTATATAATAAGTTGTATAAAATTTATTTTTAGTTTATATATTGTTGTAGATGTATCAAATTTATACGAAATTTTATTTTTAATTTGTATGCTGTTGTACCATACAAATTTATCATTGTCGAATTTCTATTGATGCTGTTGATGGTGCTATATCGATGAAGGTGGAAGCATTGAACATTTTACTTAATTTCGACTAACGTGTTCAGCCACAAAAATCAGCCACTTAAACTAATTTTAAACCCAGCAAAAACAGTTGACAAATCGCACACTTTTAACCTAAAACCAAGCCCAAAACCACCTATCAGAAATATTAATTGTACCAATAAATTTTGACCGGGAGAGTAATAAAACGAATATCAGAAAATATTTTGTACTGTGAACTAACATTATGGATCAGTCTAACATTATGGATCAGTCCAAACTGTTGATTAGATAAAAGATAAATGCATTTGGTCTCACTTGGAGTCTGTGTATGCGTAAATATTGA